CAGAGTGAGTTTCGTGTTCTCCCTCAGAGCCCACCAAGGCTGCACAGCATTGAGTGTTCCCTGAGCCCTCTGGTGTGACTGGAACTAGGGAGTCCCATGGGGGCCTTCAACCCTTGGGAGCTTGTGGCGCTCTTAAAGTTCACTCCTGCCGTCCCGTTGGGGGCCCCTGTGAAAAAACATCCTGTAGCTCTGCCTGCCCTGTCCCTTTAGTACTCCTTGACATTCTCTAAACCTGACCTGTGCCCAGGTCTCTGAACCTGCTGGCTCCTCTGCTGGGGTCACTGCTCATTAAGGCCCTTCCTGACTCACCAGGCAGAGGAGGTGGTCCCCGCCCCGCCACCTTTTCTCTTCACTGTTGAGCCCTCCTTCAGGAACTCGTCCTCGTCTAGTAGGGTTAGCAGGATGTTCTCCTGCTAAACTAGTGGCTTTCACGTTTTTTTGACAACCACTCTTATCAAGAAATACCTTTTATACACGGCCTGATATGTGTGTGTGTGTCTGTGAACCCTCTCTGTGCGTACCAGTAGGTACACATAGACCCCCTAGACAAACACCACCCTGTGAAATCTTGCATAGTTTGAATTTTGGGTGTTTTGTTCTTTTTTGTTTTGTTCTCTTGTCCAGTTTGTTCGCAGTTCTGGGGATTAAACCTAGGGCCACGCGCATGCTAGGCAAGTACTCTACCACTGAGCTACACCTCCAGCATTGAAAATATTGTTTAAAATTTTGATATGGGTCTCGTGTTTACTTAATAAAATTTACTCACTTTTTAACATTGTTAATTTCAGCAGTGTTAACGTTCAACATACCCACCATCATTTTGGATATCAAGTGTAATTCTCTTGATGCTACTATTCAGTGTATTATAGGACAGTTTAGTGTCTGAAAAAGAAAAAAGACAGTAACCTTACTTAAAATTGTTGCATTTCAAAAATTATTTACATCTTACTTAAAAATAATATACTAAAAATTTCATTTTGGGCAGCAACGTTATAGAAGTCCTGTATATAACAATCAAGTCAGTGAAACAACGCTTACCCTTACTGCTTTGACACTGATTTTCCTTCTTCCCCCCTCCGTTTCTCCTACTCCCTTCCTTCCTTCCTTTCTCTTATGCTGGTCCCCACCTGCTGGTTGATTTCATAACCAACTAAAAGGCTCATAACCTACAGTCTGAAAAACACTATTCAGGATTCTAAGTTCCTTGAGGGCAGTGACTGTGTCACTGAATCATTTTGTCTTCGTATTTCCAAGTCCCGGCACTGTTCCTCACTCTCAGTAGCTTCTTATTAAGTGTTTTCTGAATGAATAAGCCTCAGTTAAAAAGTTCTGCAGCCACTGGGATTCCGGAAGGGACAGGAGCAGTGAATAATTTATCACAGACTTCCCAAGAGCTCCTGCTGTCCTCTACACACTGGGGCCATTGTGGACTTGTCTGGGAAGCCCTGCTCTCTGCCCTGCCTTCTGCTTCCTCCCAACTTCCAGGAGAGAGGGCAGGAGGTTTAATGAAGTTCAGAGATTTCCCAAGACAAAAAACATATTAATCAGGTTCTTGGGTGGGTATTTGTCAAGGCACAAGTGATAAGAAAGCAAGATTCTTACCAAGACCTTCATTTCATTTTTATATAAACTTAATCCTCAAACCTGACTCCTTCTGCTCCTTCTAAAGCAACTATTACACTGTTTTTCAGCCCATCTGTTAGACCCTGACCGTTTCTGATTTTTTTCAAACACTATAAATCTTCATTAGGCCCTGCCCCATGCCAGGATTTTTCCATTTGGGGGTAGAAAAAAAAAATTCCCAAGCCCACCAAAACCCTGTGGCTTGGTTTCCTGTCCAGCTGGCTTGCTGTTCCTCGGGATTTTATTCCCATCATCAAAGTGGCTTGACAGACTGAGAACAAACCTCTGGCTCACCCTGAACTCAGAGTGTACTGTTTCCAAGTCAGAACAAACACCAAGTAATAGCAAGAGAAAAAGGAAGAAGAAAAAAAATTATTTTCCTGACTTAGAAGCCAGTTCAGAGAAAGCCCAGCTCTGTGACTGTAGACCGGGCTGTCACATGGCCATCCTGCAGGGGGGGTATGAGCTGTGGGCGCAGGGCCAGGACTGCTGAGCTACCCTGAAGCCGTGGGTCGCCTCTGTTATGGCCAAATCCTCTGTTCCTGGAGTCTGAATATGCGGCGTTTGAGGGAGCCTTGGAGTCAGACCTGGCCCGCATCCTCAGAGCCATGGAACAGTCAGAGTGTCCCTGAGGTTTCTTCGGCCTCTGCAAGGCCTAGAGAAGCTACAGAAAACTGTAGCCTGGCAGGATCTCAAGACTGCCAGCCTTCCCTCCGTTCATTTAGAAATGTTCAAAAAGATGTTAACTTAGCTTTAAAAAAAAAAAAAAGAAAGAAAAAACCTCATGGAAACCAGGCTCCTTGTCAGACTTGAAAGGCAAACCAATTTCCCGCAAACTTTCCCTTATGATTCTGTATGGCTCCACAGAAAAACATCCTGGGCAAGAAGCTCTGACTGGGAAGCCACTTGGTAGCGAGCGGTAAATGATGATACTACGGAGCACCCTGTGAGCTTAAAGTAACCCACCTCTGGAAAGCCTGGCCTGTGTCACGCTTATTCCTGCCTTCTCAGTGTGTTCTCCAGTCTGCAAGCTGGTGTGTCCAGGTCCGGGACGGGCCAAACAAATTCCCACATCTGTTGCCCGATCTCAAAATGCCCTTCTTTGTTAACTTCGTCCTTAACCCTTCCCATCTTACACTGCCTAATTGGAGTCACATCTCCGTAAGCCCTCTTCATTTCTCCATATCCTGTCCCAGAGTCTGTCTCTGTTTTACCCTCCCGAGCTTCCTGGTATTCTCAGAGGCCAGTAACCAGCCGCCTGTATAGCTCCTGCCCACACCAGGTCAGAGCTGGCTGCATGGAGACGTCCCCTGCTGCGTTGGCCAGTGGCTCAGCCCTGGTTCACTGATGCTCTGCGCAGAGCCAGCCCGCTGCGGTGGGTGTTCTGGCTTTCTTCCCTGATTGGTGCCCCCTCTTTTTTGGGGCAGAGGGAGGTCTCAGCAGTTAAACAGTGGAAGTCCCAGAAGTGAGAATGATGTCGTTAAAGAAATGTTCATAGACTTTATGGGCTATCCATGGTGGATGGAGAAAGAATGACATCAGGAGATGATGATTGAGAACCCTGGAGAGTACTAGATTGAGACAAAAGATATGGGGAGTATTGAAAAATAAAAGAGCAGAGTAAATTACAAACAGATAAAACAGATAAAAGTTGTGAACATTTTTTCAAAAAGTAAAACATTTTTTCAAAAAGTAATGGGCATAATGGTACATGCCTATAGTCCCAACACTTGGGAGGCTGAGGCAGGAGGATCACTGTGAGTTCAAGGCCGGCCTAAATTACAGTGAGACCCTGTCTCAAAAAAAAAAAAAAAGAATGCCACAGAAAAGTAAAACTATAAAATACTAGGAAAATATACATGAAACACGTGAAATCTTTAAGAAGAATTGGACTCTGTAAGTATAACTTGAAACCCAGATGATATAACAATGTTAATATATTTGCATAGAACTAAACATTGATAAATTATAAAGCTTTTTATAAAGTTAAAAAACTGCAAAACTTTTGCAACATGGGTGACTAAAGGCAGATTCCTTTTATATACAAGGAGTCCTACAAATCATTACAGAAGAAGAGAACAACAGGATTTGAATACAAATCCAGAAAAGAAAATTCAAATATTTAAAAAGCATAAAAAGGATGGTCAGCCTCACTTTTAATATAGTTGCAATTTAAAATAACAGGTCATGGGGCTGGGGATTTAGCTCAGCGGCACAGCGCCTGCCCGGCAAGTGCAAGATTCTGAGTTCGATCCCTGGTACCAGAAAACAAAAACAACAACAACAACAAAAAAAAAAACAGTAGGTCATGCCGGGCATGGTGGTACACACCTGTAATCCCAGCACTTGGGAGGCTGAGGCAGGAGGATCGTTGCAAGTTCGAGACCAACCTGGGCTACAAAGTGAGCTCAAGGCCAGCCCGAACTGCAGAGCAAGACCCTGCCTCAAAAAAGGGGGCTGGGGATTTAGTTCAGCAGCACAGCACCTGCCTCGCAAGCGTGAGG